TGAACATTAAGATATAAGCTTGAGATCTACCATGTTAGTTATTTAGTGAAATCCAACCAAGAAAAGAATGAAAGAATGATGTAATTTGCCTACCCCCCCCCCAATATACTATCTACCCCTCCAGTACACCGAATACAAACTGTTCCACGATATAATAAAAAATGGGTATTTTTTCGATACTGTACAGTATCCTTTAGGGATCCTTATCCTTTAAGTTTACATCTTGTTCCCGTTTACCTACATTTATGTATGAGTATGCAATGTACATAAACCTAAAGTGTTACCTAATCCACAGCTGCAGAGTAAACTTAGCACTTCAGTCCAGAAATGTAAGTGCAAAGCAAACACCAGCATGAGGGACAATCCACAGGAAAGCAGAGAGGAGGAAGGAGGACCAGGTTTATTCTGGTAAACACTGTCTGATCTGATGTGCACTGAGATGGAAGAGGAGAGAAATAGAGGCTGCTGTCAAAGATAATGTCTCCCCCCCCCCTTTCTCTCCTTCTCTGGATCTGTGCATGCACTGAATAATTTAAAGCTTTACAGTACAGCGGGTGATAAAGTCAACCAAACGGCAGAGGCTCTGACTGAGACACGGGAAGAAACATCACTGCTCGATATTTGACTCTGTGTGATAAGAGGAACATGTAGCGCTCATCGTCTGCACAAAGAGGATGATTTACTAGATGAATATTTCAGAACAAGCTGGAATGTTACCTGATTACGCCTCAGTTCTACTTCATCATGCAGAGAGGCTTTTACTTATTTGATCTTCGTGTGTGCGTAGTTGCATTTCTCCTAGGAAAATTGGCAGCACTGTTTCCCTATGACTACCCTCATTGATGAATATATACTCTAGGCCTATCACACATGATTGCCTGTTGTGTTTTTGACATGATATTTTAATCCAGCAAGGTTTTTAAAACAACAATTTAAGACACCACATGTTTGCAAATGTGTCAATAATGGGCACAATGTCCTATTGGGATGTTTGAGATCATCAGTAATTGACAAAATAGATTCAAGGTTTATCACTTAATAGATTTCTTATTTATTGTTTACTTTTTACATAGTTTCCCTACATCACATGGAATATATGAGCAGGAATTGTTTTATTATTATGCTAATGTTATTTGCTTTTTTTGGTATGTCTGTTATTGTTATAGGATTTTGATTCAGTCATTTCCTGTTGTTCTTATATCGACTCAATATATGTTACTACCTCTGTTCAGGGTTTAAACACTGTCAGTCAGTTTTCAAGTCAGTCAGAGAGAAGTTGTAAAATCAATAGAGGAAACATGCCCTTGCTTGCAATTTTTACAGTTAAGACAGCACGAACATTTCTGGAAATTGCTACTAAATCCTTAAAACCCATTGCAGTGTCCGCCTTAACTTTTTACTTCATCATTATTTTTCGACCAAGTGTGGCTGATGAAGAGGGTTACTGATGTCAAACTCTGCCGCACTGATAAAATGAAGATCGCCCACAGGCTGTGCTTACTCCGTGAATGTGTCTACATTTTAGTTTTTAGTGGCTAGTGGCTATTTAGCAGTGGAAACCTTTTTAAACTTTTACTTTCATTTAAAGTCAGTCAAGGGATTTAATATTTCAGATCTGAATTCTAATCTTTCCTGTTTAAATCCACTGAAAGTGTTTTTTAAAATGAAGCTTTTATTTTTTGTTCACATGACATTTAGTTGTTGTGTTGGCTACAACCTGGTTCATTTAGGAAGCACAACACGTGGACTTATGTATGTGTGCGGGAGAGAAAGAGAGTTGAGAAAGAGAGTTATTGAAGTGGAGTGGGCAGGAAGCAGTGACTGACGGGAAGACAGAGATTAGCCGGATAGCGGGCTAATGTGTGTTTGACCTCCTGAGTGGCTGTAAGCAGCAGATAAGCTAAAGACCTGATTGTCTGTGGACCTCCTCAGACACTCGATGTAATGAGTTCATCTTTCTGAACATGTACAAAGGGAACTTACACAGACCACTCCACTCCTCTACCCCTGACCTCTGGGAGTCCAGACTGTCTACCTTAGACCTCTGCCTGCTAAGCTACTGGTAGTTTCTCCAGAAGTGTAAAAATACTTTTTTTTTTTCTTCTGTAGAGCGTTTTTAGAGTGAAGAGTGAAAAACTGCACTCAGGAGAGAAGCAGGCAAATGCTTTCTCCACTGACTGCATGCTGAAGCTGGTGTTTAAACTCAGGAAGACAGAGTCAAAACTAATCAGGGTTCCCACCCCTGAAGCTGGCAGAGGCTGTATTGAATTTGGCAGCCTGAGACGACCCAGAACACCAGGAAACCAACCTGCGGAGAAACATCCACCTGTCCGAGAGCAGCAAAGTGTGGGCGCTCTTGGGTTCCTTCATATCAAACGCATCACAAGTGCATCCACTCACACTCCTCCCCAGGGTTGAAGAGGAAATATTAATAAAGGATTAATAAGATTCTGTCTGCAGAGCATCTGGTCACAAGACATTTATTAATGATTTATGTTGTTTAAGCTGCAAATGAAATGATGTCTCACCGTATTAAAACGGCAAAGAAATTGTTTTTTCATCCATCATAGCCATCAACTAGGCTTGGTTCCTGTTTTTCCTCATTGTGTTTGAGTTTTTTCTTGACTCTTGGTTTCTATTTTGGGCTCATTCCTTCAAAGTCGGGAAAATGGTGGAAGGCTAAGTTAGCTGTGGGTTGCAGGATACAAAGTTTAATGTTGGAGACACATTGAAAGATCAGATTGGATGCAGACACTGTAAACAATGCTATTAGAGCTATTACTTTAAATTGTCAGGATTCACTGTTTTTCATGTTGTTTTCTAGTTGCCATGGATGTTTTTAGAGCCGCTTTTTAGTGCCCAATTTATTTCTCTTCCATTACAAAGCAGCATTGTTTGGTGGGTGGTGGTGGTGGACAGTGCGGTTTAACAGTCACACAAATGAGCTGACATGGTTCTTCTGGGAGATATATAGAATATGCTATGAGGCAATTCAACACATTCCTGTTTATTTCTGCTCTTAGGGAAAGCTGATGCTTGCTGTTTCTGTAAACACTTACCGACACCACACAGACTAATGCTGCAGAATAAGATTATAAACAGCTCACTCGTCTTGCTTTTCTAACCCTGACAAAAACTGAATAAGCTTGCAAAACTTCAAAATGCTCACACTAATCATCATTGTGAGTCCCCTTTTTCCAGCCAACACAGCCCACTGCTGAGAAACGATAATAATCCTCTGCGTTGGCTTTGCTGAAATGTCTTCATCCAGCTTCTTAAGCACTCTGAAAGCAAAGAGAATAAAAGCATGTGTGGAAATGCAAAGCCTGTATTTACAGAAAAGCAGAGTGACCATTTAAGATGATTTAAACTGAATGAATAGATATAAATTCTGTCCTTCCAGAGAAATACTATCAGTTTGGTCCCTTTTAATTAGTTAATTAGCCATTTCTATGTAGGAGGACACACTCACAGAGCAGATATGCTGTATACGAGCTCCCTTACTTCTGCTTAATTGATCCCCAATCAGCCATTCATTATTTGATTACCTCATTTAGTGTGCATGTCACTGGTTTGTACATCAGCTCAGTCAGTGACAAGTCAGCTCTAATTAAAGACCAGGACACTATAAGCAGCCATTTACAGGCAGGGGAGAGCCATAGAAATTCATGAGATTGTTTTAATCAGTAATAAAGACCTAAATTAGCAGCTTTATTGAGAATACGAGCCTTTCTGTTGTAGTAATGCCACACTAGGTCTCCGTACGTCTGTGCTCTTGCCAGCGGCTGGACAGGATGTGTCCATCTGCCTTAAATGGCCATTAAGATAGAATAACGTGCCACCATGGTACTCATAATTAAAGTCGTCTGGGTGTCCAGACAGGAGTGATTTCAGTCATTCAGTAGAAGGTTATACTCAGAATTTAATGCCTGTACAGCAAAGGCACACAGTCTCTGGGGGGAATGAAACATGTGACAGTTCAGAAGAGACTAAACCCCTGAAGAAAAGATACATGTTGGTCATGTGCAATATTTTTTACAACTGGTTCTTGCAAAGCCCGCAGATGTACTTAAAAGTAACGATGTGATGAAACAATCATTAATTTGCTTTCTTTGTCATTTGGCATTTGGTGGCATTTCAAATGTTCATTGCTTTGGTCCCTTCGTCCTCTGCCATTTCTCTCCACTACTACTTCTCGTATTCTCTTTGAGGATGGCTAATTTCCTTTTTTGCAACAAACAGTGACTGCTAGCTGGATACCTTATTGACTAAAGTTATACTAACTGAAAACACAATAAAAAACAGAAGACATAGTTAAGTAGTGGGGACAGGATGTGTAATCAAGGGGGGAATAAGCAATAGAAATAGCATTTTAGGGGATGTGTGCTTAAACCTGTGACACCGTACATTAAGACAAAACTGGTTGGGAAAAAAAAAGGTTAGAAAAGGTTTGATGTTTTTCTAGATCTGACTGTCCTCTCATGACTGACAACATTTCCAGCATGGCGACCGCCATCAACAGGCTTCCAAAGCCCCCCTTCAGTAACAAATAGGGGACATCGCTCAGGCTTCATCCACAATAGTTTACAGTCTATGTTCAATTCCTGTACACAAGACAAAGAGCCATGTGAATTTGTCAACATTAGAACATTTACATTGGTTCTCTTTATCTTCCAAACAGTATTTTAGAGCACATTTAGACAACAGCTGCAAGGTAAACATTGCTGTCACCAGAAAAAGAAAGCTAGAATTTTTATTATTTTCATTCACTTAGTTTGTTTAAGGAAATGTTACTTTGTTTCAAGTTCAATTCAAATATCTGAAAGTGCAGTCAGGGAGGATTCTGCCTCAAGTAGAGGTATGTCCCTTATTGCATTGAGAAAGAAACCCACAAACCGGTCTGCAGTATTTCAAAGTGTGCTGTGAATTGGGAAAGAGAGGTTTTGATAAGGTTTAGTCTTAGTTACATGTCATTGAACAAAATATCAGAGAGCCATGAGCAGATTCTACCATTTATTACACATATTACATTCTTAAATAAAAATGCTCCACTTAACAGTTCTTGCATAGATATCTTACAATACCAATTTAGAAAAGAATTATGAAACAGACCAGTAACAAAAATAAATTTTCTTCTTCCTTAATAAAGAACATTACCATACTAACATCATATAATACAAATAATATTTTAAACACTTTGTACAGCAAAAATTGTAAGTAAAACAACAGAAAGGAAAGTAAAACGTAAAAAAACCCAACAGATGTGAAGGTGATGTCGGAGAGGAAGGTGGGTGTGGAGTGAAGGTTTATGGATTGAAGGTTGAAATGAAAGGTATCAGAGTAACAGAGCCCCGGAGAGACAGGTGAGAGGGATGTTGTGATGGAAAAAAAACACATCTGCTGTCTTCTCTTTTCTCTACATGTCAACTCACCCCAGGAAATATAAAGTTGGTTTAGTTTGAGTTAGATGCGTATACAGACTGGATGATATAAAGGGGCTTTCTCTAAAGACAATAAAGGACTTGTCACTCATTTCATTATGTGACATGAACATTGGCATCCAAGTCATGTCTGTCTGTTCATCAGATTTTTGTTGTATGGGTGCTAATGCTTACTAATTGAGAGTATGCTCAGTTGTTCATTATAACTTTGGTCTCATTTTGACTATAACCCCGTTTAGAAATAGCCATAATTATTAGGAATGATGGGCAAAAGTAAGAAAATAAGACCCAAGTTTGGGAAGAACAACCAAATTTAAATGTTCTCAATTGAAAGAAATAAAACAAATCTAATTTACAGCCAATCACTAATAGAGTTCTGATGATGATAATCAACAATATGGAATACAATAACTTTTTTTTTGTTACTTATTGTGAAGGCATTGCTTTACCAAAATTGTACAAAAGATTGGTAGCAATAAAGTTGTACTATTTGACAAAGCTTGTACGTAAGATGAATAGAACATTTCTGAGACCAATTTGTTTGGCACATACAGAGGGGGGAACCACTGTCCTTAAGAAGTTCTTGAACTTGAAGTTACCCATACAAATCCCTCAAGCATCAGGGTCTAGCTGTGCAGATAAACTGACAGAGATGCACCTACACGGACGAGTTGTCTGTCCTTTTACTGTTCTGACTGACGACATTTGGATAGAAAAGTGGAAAAGATATGACAGTCTTTCTGAAGAACTGCTTGGAGCTCAAAAGCTGCATAGCGCTTGAGAACAGCTCTCAGAACAGAACAGCTGGATATGTGAGGACTCTGAGCATGTTTAAACCCAAAGGGGCTCAGATGGTCGAGGTTTGGGTGGAGAGGGTTTCGGTTGGAGTGAGGTGAAATGTACAGACACAAGGACAGGGGCAAAGATCTGTGAATCTCTTATATACTGACACTTCAAGCAAGGACAAACACAGTAGAAACAGACAGTCACTTCAGGATGCTACTGACGCCAAGAAAATTCAACCAAGTCCCAGTTTGACTGAATGTTTGAAAGTACAACCTATTCCCCAGAATAACGGTGATGTAAAAGGCATTTCACCAGAGGTTTTAGTCTGTATGTGGACGTGTAGCAAAATGGTTCTTGGTGGCAAAGTGCATCCTGGATCAGTGACACATGTTAAGTGGATATTTGACAGAGTGCTCCAACAGACTATGCTAGCAGTGCGTGCACATGGAGAGTGTGATAGCTAAATATGATTATGTAGCGCAATGTTTGCGAGAACTAAAGCCGATCTATAGATATGCTGAAATGTCTGAGACAGTGCTGTTGCCAAATACAGATCTGTATGAAAGATCTCACACTATTTACAAAAGCTGCCTAAATTGACAATCCTTCTTCTGAGTAATATGTTGGAAACTGTGGAAACCGGAGCCTGGTCCCTGAAAGGACAATGTTAGAAGAACTGCCTGGAGTCAAGGACAATGTTTAGAGACTTTTTTTTAAATGGGTTTGTTGGTTTGAGTCTGAATTTGCTCTTCTTCTTAGTCGGAACCCTTTCAGGCTATTTACTAAGTCAAATGGTTGTTAATTGCAGATACCTTGACAAGTTCTCCAATGAGTGACACGTGTCAAGACTATAAAGAAGAATGTTTAAGTTTAAATGGATGCATGAAATTTGGTACAATGAGACCATGTTCTAGGCTGCACCTGCATAACTTGTCCGTATAATTGGCCAATGTTTACACCTGTTGGTAAAAAAAACAACATATTGGTGTTCTATTGGACAAACCTACTGAAAGTGTGTAGACTTTATCCATCTTTTCAGATGAAGCTTGGCCATCCCAAGCCTCTCTGCTTGCTTTTGCATCAATACGTATCAATCCTAGATTCAGACCAACCTGCCTTCAGTAAGTTCCCAAGGACAGAAATTTCCTTTTAGGATTTCTTCTGAACTTTACACATATGACACATTGGTAAACTCTTGAACAGTTGGTGAATTGAAATTGGTTTCCAATGTAAACGATTTCCCAAGACTCCAGACCCACTCTGACTGCACTTTGATATGAAATTCACTGGTGCTATTGGCAGTGTGCTAAGCAGCTGACGTAATCTAAACTTCCTCACTCCTGCTAACCCTGCTAGCACAACAACACCAGACACCTAAGACCATGTGAATATTATTTTACATTTGTGAACAATGAGTTCGGCTCCAGCTAGCAGTAGACAAGGGACTGAAAATGTTATGGAGCATGAAGTCCGAGCACGCTGGTAATTAAGATTTAATGGGCCGATCAGGTGAGAAAACACTAACCCTTTTCCCTTTTACCTCCCATCCAAGACTCGTTTTCTGCATCTCTGCCTCTCAGCTCGTCACTAAATCTACTACATTCACAGCAGTTTACTTGCAAATATGCAAATCTTTGGGCAAAATGTGTAAAGTGTGCATTCCTGCAGCTGATAGTGCATGGACAACTGCTGTGGACAGAAAGGAAGAGAAGGGGTGAGGATGGATGGAAACAAAAATGGTATTTTATCGTTATAGGAATAGAGACGGTTGAGACTTTGCGGATAAATGGTCATTCATTTTATCTGTAATCCATGAGATAAAATGCAAAGGCTGATGTAATGATTTAGATATTCATGTGGGAAAATGTTTTCTTTCAAATCTTTTTTATCACAGTTTAGTGTTTATTTTAATATATCTCACTATCTCCTGGCATTTCTCTATGCGAACAGGATCTCTTGTTCTACATCAAATCTGTCCACTGGGTACAAAGCGCTGGAATCCGTCCATCTCAAGGTTTGCTCCAGACCACTCAGTTTCCCTGTGACCCAGAGTGATCTCATTAGCTGAACTGCGACTGGAGAAGAGGACCCGGGAGTGCTAATGCTAATCAGGCTGTGGGACAGCTATAGCTGGCCTGGAGGAGCCTGAGAGACGACATGAGACCCGGAGCAACACTGTGACAGGAAACCTGCTTCTTCAGGCAAAGAGACGAAATGTGCTATGGTATCTGAAGTGACTTTGAGATCTGTTGGATGTCAAGATGGATTTTAATTCAAGGGGAGAAGAAGAGCTATGAGTCAAATTTATTGAATACTATCCAGCACAATTCCTTGAATCCTCTGTATTTATAGTTTTGCGCATATTGTCCGATATCTTGTTCCTTAAAATCCAGAAATGTACTGCAAGCTACACATTCTCTTAAGACAGTACAAAAGGGTTATCATTCACGATGGTTTTCCAAAGGAGCAGATCAATGTCAACCATAAATTAGTTTCCATTTTTTGTCAGCATGCAGGCAAAGGTTTGCCCTCGACTGCAAGATAACACGACATTCGTCGGTTTTCTGTGAATTAGGTTCTCTTTTGGGGTTAGCAGCTCAGAAAATGAGTCGGCTAACGGAAAGCGACGAGACACATGGGGACAAAATGCAAATGAGCAGCTGATTATGTGTCCTACTTCCTCTTACTGAGGAAAAAACTGTTAACAACAACGTTTGTGCTGAATATGGTATTTTAAGGATATGATTTACGCGCAGATAATCGAGAGGCCAAATACTGATACTGATCTCAGCATTCGGATGAACAGGTGAGTGGATGTATGGATGAATGAAGGGTTTAACCAAAAAAAGAATAAACACATTGTCAGCCATCGCTTGGATTAAGAGCATTTTTCACCAACAGAAGTAAAAACCAAAATTTCTCCCACAAGGTTGCACACATGTTCAGCAGTTAAAAATCTGTTATCAACCACCTTGCTGAATCACTGCTTCCCTCACAGTTTGCCTAATGTGGACACACACACACACACTCACACACACACTCACACACACACACGCACGCACACACACTCACACACACACACTCACTCACACAAACATACACACATATGCACATTCATGCCATCAAAAGCTTCACAAAAGTGCTACGATCCCCGTCCCTCTATGATTGTACGTCCTGTATAGGGGGGGTTCCTTCTACATCCCATTGCATGTCTCAACATTTTGGCATGACTTTTGCATCATCCAAGCTGAAGAAAACAACCATCAATACAGCTTTTGTTACAGAAACCAAACAATGAAGTAAAATCAAAAGTGAAACACTGGATTCATCCCAAACGTGGGTTGCTTTACGCTGTATTTAGCAGAAAGAGAGAGTTAGTAGAGAAAGCTGCCGCTGGATACAGAGGCCTCATATGGAGGCGGTCTCCCGCTGATCTCTCCTGACCCGGGAGACTTTGCCCGTGGCTGAAGGGCAGTTCCACGCTGGAGGTTTTTGGTATCGATTGTTCGAAGCTGCACCATAAAACCCCCTTGAAGGGGAATGTTTTCACTGTTTCACCTAATGAAGGCTGGCAAGGCCGACTGGCACGATGACTGGGCATGCTGGGATATGAAAACCCCCGCCAGCTTCAGGAACCGTGAACCCTTACCCAGTCGTACCAGTCAGAAGTGAGTATTAGACTGTTAGCGTGCGCTACAGGGCATAAAGGTGGTGGTGGGCGGATGGAGCAGCGGTGTAAGTGTTGGAGTTGGCGGTATCAGTAATGCCCTGATCACAAGGCGAGTTTAGATTTTCTACAACCCATTGAGCAAAAGAAGCAGGTGTGGATATTTGCTCTCCCCAGTTTTCACCTCTCATGAGATATTTTTTACATCAGAGATTCCAGGGTAAGTGATTACCCTTAGGTTAGCGATAGAAGCCATTGTTATGCATTAGTCTTCAGCGACATGGATTCAAAATCAGTGATTATTCTTTTAATAAAATGTGCTGACTTTCATGGAAAGTTGCCTACATCAATGCTGCAGTAATCAGACGATAAGACCAAAATGCAAAGACAAATTGTACAACAATAATGAATATTTCACATTGGGTTTCAAGGGGAAGTATTTTCAACTTGGAAAGAGTTTAGTGCAAGTCACAATGCAACAAATCCAAATGTCTCAGTTGGAGCTGATTTGAAAGGTAGGCTACCTCGCACGTTTTCTTGTAAACAACACCATGTTTACTTTGAAAGATTTCTGACAAAAATAAAATTTCTAGTTTTACATTCAATGAAAAGGTTCATTTTACGTCCTTCTTCACAAAGTCATATTTATTTTTAAGTACTTAATTCTGCATTTATTCATGTGTTGGTTCCTTAGCAGTCTCCTTCTTTCTTGCCTTTGTTGGTACACTACTTCATATTTCTTGAGCATCACTACTTCCATCTGTTGGTCTGTTGATCTGGGTAAATAGATGTTGATTATGAGTTTTGGGATGTATATGGAAACTCAAAACTAAAATTGCAGTTCTGGTGGGCCAAAATCTTGCAGGGTAGCTTTAAGTGTGATAATCAGTTTCTCTGAATCGTCTTCATATAAAAATTTGGTCTTTTGTTGATTGCTGTTCTGTTGACATCAATTGTAGGAAAGTTTTCCGAGGATGTGATCCCACCAACAGTTTGTGCAACAGCCAAACGTCTGTTTAAGTCAAATTTGTCTGTTTTTTTTGGAATTGAAAAGCTGATTCACGATGTTTTCATAGAACCAGATGGGACCTTGAAAATTCAAATTCTCTGTACATTATCGACAGGATGAAAGCATCTTTTTTGGATTATCGATATGTTTTCAGCAGTTGTATGAAGTTTTGATAAAAGGCCTGTCGGAGTTGATTTATTTCTATTTACTCGAGATGAAAGTCTGATAAAAGTGGCTTATACCCCCGATTGCAGCTAAGAGTCTCTGAAGTAAAAAACGCTGATTAAATGAGAGGCAGAAACTGTAGCGAAGGATATGTGGGTGATTGTTGGAACTGAGAACAAGCTGATTTCTCACTTCAAAGGATTTGGAATCGTTTGTTACCTCCAGCCGAGAGCTAAGATACTCCTCTACTAAACAACAGTTGCTAAATTCCTACTGTGAAAAAAGATCTGGGAGCAGAACATATAAATCCAGGAAGAGTGTGTGTGTGTGTGTGTGTGTATGTGTGTCTGTGCGTACATGAGCTGGTGTGTATGTGTGTGTGTGTGTGTATTTGCACTAAAGGCTGCCATGCAGTGTTTTGTTTTCCAACTCTGTTCATTAGTTTAATAATTATTTCCTAAATCTTATTAGTCTTATCTCGAGAGGAGCCGTAAGCAAAAAGAAACTGCAGTGTAAGTCTGTGTGTGTGTGTGCGTGTGTGTGTGTGTGTGTGTGTGTGTGTGTGTGTGTGCATGTGTGTTGACGGAGTATGTGTGCTTGTTCTGTATACAATGTGTAGAGCGAGACAGGATTGTTTTTTGTGTTGGATTTTTTTTCAAGTCTTTTTATCATTTTTTTGTCTTTGTGTTCCTTTTTTCGCTGTAGAAAAAAAAGCACAGATAACATTGAAAAAAAGAAAAAAAAGTCAGTGCAGTCAATGGATAAGAAACAGGCAAGTTTGACCAGGCCGTGCGTGTGACCGTGTCTGTCCGGGCACGGCGCACAAAAGGTCCGTTGGTGTCTTAAATCCCACGTGAATAACCAAAAAGCGGCTCATCAGCCTCTGCTCTTGCCCTGCAGTGATGCCAGGGGGATGAGATTTTAGAGTCTGTGAGAGCGCTCCAGGATGAGTTTTCATAGAATCAACAAAAAGAAACAAAGAACGAGGAACAAAAAAAAGAAGAAAGGTTTTGAGTTTTTTAAGCAAGTCCTCTGCCTGACTCCGACAGAGTGCGAAACCACGGAGGGTCATACGAGGGTTTTGTTTTCCATCTGGAGTGAATCGCAGGGCAGAAGGAGCAGCACAAAAAAAATGAAGACCTCTCTGCTCCTTGCTTTTATTTTTTCTCAAACAAAAAGAAAAATTACAAATCCCTTTTCTGAGAGTCGGTATGTTTCTGTTTTTTTCTTCTTCTTGTTCATCCGCTGGTTGCTTACAGACTGCAAAAGTACAGCCGGTGCACATGGGGATTAAAAGACCAACAACGTCCTCCTTCTCATCCCACACATTCTGTTGAAGTCATCTTAGATTTTTTTTTTGTCCCCCCCCCCCCTCCCCCCACCTCAAAAACACAATTCAATGAGTTTTAAGACATTTTCTCCAAGAGAGAGAAAAGAACAAAGTGTCATTCTTTGTATCAACAACAATAAGAAGAATTATTGTCCTCAAAGTAGAAAAAAAGGGAAGAAAGTGTCGCTGCGCATTTCTGTCAGATGGCCTGCGGAGGCGGCAGGCGTCTCAGTGAAGGTGAGAGATGCAAACACTAACTGGAGGAGAGCCTGAGAGCTGCAGGAGCACCCGCTGACTGAACCGAGGTCCCATAGGTGCACTGAAACACCCAGCGTCCAACACGGGTTAGGATAGTCAGCTCTGCTAGAAGTCAATCTGTACAGTCTCTCTCCTGCAGATTTTGGCATTGTTGTTTTCTTCACGTAAGTAACTGAAGCTGACTGCGGCAGATGATGGTTTATTTAGTTCCATGTATGAGAAAAAACAATGAAAAAAGTTGAGTATTTGATTTAAAAATCCGGTTAAGCACTAACAAACTGACTATTATATGGATATTGAAGTTTCCCCACTGAACTATCTCCTCACCCAAAGTGACTCACACTGACTACAGAGAAAGAAAAAAGGCGGCGTAATGTTTCATCAAGCAAGTTAAGTATATGTTGGTTTGGCAGTGTCCAAGCCCCCAGAGCCGCATGAGAGCAGCCCGGGGTTCACCGGGATGATGCATTCAAAGACGGCTGTGTTGAGTGTTTACTATTGCAAGTGTGCGAGTGTGTAATTTTAAAGAAAATCAACAATCTAGCTACTCCTCGTTTTCCTCCGACTCCTGTCTGCGGTGAGAGAGGGCCGTCAGTCCGTTCGTTTTTTTTTTTTTTTTTTTTTACGGTCCTCTCAGATGGATTGGCCGCCCTGCAGGTGTCATGGCTTGCCGACTGCTTTAAGGACGGGGTGAACGAGGCGGGTGGTTGGTAGCTTGACTGCCCATCCCTCTCTCCTCCTTTCTCTCCTCCTCCTCTTCATCTTCATCTTCCTCCTCTCCCACTCCTTCTCCCTTCTGCCCTCAGATGTGCCTCTTCATGTGCAGGGCCAGGTGGTCAGACCGGGAGAAACACCTGCAGAGAGAAATAGGGAAACTGTGTCATTAATATTTATAAAACCTCCTGAAACCGCAGGAAAAAATATGTGAAGAAATAGGAGATATAATGGAGGGTTGATTTTTCATTTAAACTCGGAAAGAACAGGACAGGGGAAAAGATAAACACACAATTTGAACAACAATTAATAACAAAGTTCTAATGGAACGATGTGCTGTATGTTAGAGGATATGGCTAGTCACAGCCAATGGCTCTGTGTATTAGTCATACATGGGCCAAACTTCCAGGCCTCCTGAAGCACCCACTGGCTCTGTGTATGTCTTGGGAGCGCTCCATAATCTCAGGCCTCTTGTATTTCCCACTGGCATTGCGCATTTCCTGGAAATGCTCCACACTTTCCAGCCCCTCCCTGAACTCAACATTGCCTCTGTGTGTTTGAAGGAAAGCGTCCCACTGCTACTGTAGGGAACAATTAAATACTCCCTGAATCTGTGTTATTTCGAGGAGAACCTGATATTCTCAAGCCCGCCATGAACGATATGTTTTTATGCAGTCATGTTTTTGTGGATAGATATCACCTGGACAATCTAAAAGAGAGAATACTATTTAAACACAAAGACAGACAGAGACTGGCAGAGAGGCCGTGCTCATCTCTTAGTAGTCTACACACATTTAATAATTCAAGAAACTTCAGATATTTTCGGTCTTTGGTCGTACTTCATTGTGTCACACCAGTGACCCCAGATGAACATATGAAAGTCTATGTATTCAGGCTCTGTGATTTCCTAAACACGACTCCAACACGATCATAAATCACAGCCAGACCTCCACCGCTCTGCAGTCAGTCCTTGAGCTCCGGGTACAATACTATTGTAGAAACTAATTAGATATGCATCATGAACATAGACACTAATGCAGACAGGCTGGCAGTGCTCTCTGATGCCGGGCCATTTAACTCTGCAGTGACTGCACCTGGTGTGAGAGAGACATAAAACCAGGTGCTGCCCATGTGAAATGTAAAAGGAATCGTAATGTCACCATGATTTTAATTTTACTACAGCATGGTGAAGACATTAAAGCTGAGCATTCACAATAAAATGCATCACAAATGATATGACTAAATGAGAGGGGGAAAAGCAAAACGTGGGAGAGAATAAAATGGGAAATTAAATATTCACTTTGCCAGAGGGTTTATTCATTATTAATTAGTCAAGCCTATTAGATGTGTATGTGTGATGGTGTGTGTATTTAGGCAGGCTGTTGTTCTATCCAGACAAATGTGAACAAAAAACGCACAATGGAAAGTTTGTCACACCGTAGAAATATCTCTCAGGTGCTTCTACTGTGATTTATTCTCTCGATGTGCAGAAATGAACCCGTGATAATTGGGGTTGCCCAACTGGGACATTGACTTTTCCAGGGATGGCCTGAAGTTTGTGTGCACACACACAAATGAAGAGCCTTTATTTCCCCCTTCTGTCTGCACTAATGACATTGACTTTTAAGTAACACAAGATAAGGGCAACACATGCATTGTCAAGGCGTAATTCTTCATGGACTCAAATAAAGATTTATGTCCAAAGTAAATGAAAAAAATCGCAAACTTCTACACACTGAGTCCCACCTCTGGCAAGGCAAATAGTCAATAATAGTCAGGGATTTTGGGGTGGCCAATTAGATTTTAAGGGGGGGCCCATGCTCCTGGAAACGCCCCTGCTACTTGACAATTATGTCATCGCACATCATCTGACACACCTGTTGAATATTAGCTATGACAACTTCACCCCATAGGTTGACGGTTTAAGTCAATACAAAAGTGTATAAACAATAAAATATGAATCTGATAGTGATTGAAATAACATCCATAACATGTCACTCTATTCACATTCCCAAATAGTTGACGACTGCAATTTCATTGCTTCTTTCTCTATCTCACTTTCTGATCCCGTCCGGTCACAGCAGATGGATGTACAACAATGAGTCTGGCTCTGCTCATGGTTTCTCCCGGTTTGAAGGGAGTTTTTCTTGTTTATGTTTCCATTCCACTCATGCTATAAAAAATCTTGGGTCTCATAAGTATGGTCTCGACTCTTTTTGTATAGTGTCCTGAGATAATTTTGTTATTAGATTGCGCTAACTAAATAAGTAACTACATTAGTTACCAAAGCTTTGCTGTGCCCCTCAGTGCTTCCAGTTGATGTCTGCATGAGACACCAAGTTTCTGTCAGCAGGAATATAAAGATAAAATACAACATACAGTATCTATAATGTGGACAAAGAGTTTGTAGAAAATGAATAAAACACAGTGTGGACAGAGCTGACTTTGGCGTCTTCATTTGTTAAAGTTTTCAGACTTCACAGCATTAATGTGAACAGTTGAACTTTGCTCTCTGTTGTCTCTGTTCCAGTGTTTGCCCTCAATCCTCCGCTGGCCATGTGTTACCTAATGTACACCTCCACCAATATGTGTGTGTGTGTGTGAGTGTGTGTGCGTGAGTGTGTGTGCGTGTGTGACCGGACAGATGGCCATGCCAGTTACTGTGTCACTGTTGGGGTGTGGAGCAGCCAGACCAGCTGGTACCCGCCCCCCTTCTCCTCCGTCCGTCCCATCCTCCTCTTCTCCTCCTCTAAACTCTCTCTCTCTACTCCTCCTCCTCACTTCTTTTTGTCCTTTTCCTCATCACTCCTCCTTCTTCCAGCTCCATGGAAACATCAGGGGGTCCTCGCTTGATTAGGCAGGATTAATGACAGACTGTGTGTGTGTGTGTGTGCGTGTGTGTGTGTGTGTCTCCCAGGAGAAATTGTGTCAGATTGAACATTCTATCTAATGTTAACTTCTCCGTGGCTGCCACTTTCTGCCATTCTCATGGTAATATTTGGGGGCTCCACCCATCACAGATGTGTGTCTGTGTGTGTTACTGTAAGACATCCTGGTTGTGTTAAGCCGATTTCCGACAAACTTGTTATTTGAGCATCAAAAGGCATAAAAGGGAAACACTAGAATCTGAAAATTAAGGTGCTTCCAGACTGGGAGCGGTTACAACCTGCAACATTATGCATAATTTGAGACTTTTTTTCTTCCATTTTGGGATCTGCAGACAACCTCAAATTGTATCAGACTGCAAATCACAGACTACTGCCACCCATCCCACATTATTGAAATGAGAGCAAAAGAGAGCAGATTAAAACCCAGAAATTGTTAGCAATATGCCCAATATAGTCAGGAATATGGCTTTTCTTCACTGATCTGACTGTCTTCTAATAAATAGATTAATGATTCACATAACTCAGATAGTGTTTAAATCAGCTCCTGTTTCATTTCCTTGTCTCTCTTTCTCTTGTGTCTGATCGCCATGATTACGTGGCAGGATGCAGCAGCAGGTTTTAACATTTCAACCAAGAACAGAACTCAAATTTGCCTGAAATAAATTGTGCTGAAGATTGAAAGTAAGGAGTGGCGGCTCACACAAAATACAACAGTTCCGATCAGCCTCAGCTTTGTTTCTATACAAATATGGCCAACATAGGCTGGTGCTGATGCATATTCAGAAAACTTTGTTGTTGCAATTGATAAGAATATTTTAAACAAATACTTTGAGATTGGATGTTACTTTCTAAAGATGCCTCGTGGAAGGTGATGTTTATTTTATATCAGCACATATTAGAGCAATTCTTTGGTTTCCTTTTGGAGTCAAAGAAGTAGATTTTCCTCAAAGAGTTCAGATGTCAGTTATTCAACAGTTTACAGGCAGACAAAGAGCAGCAGTAGACACACACAATAACTTCTACACTTGCAACACTCTGCAGACTTTGAATCAGTCAGGGTCTCAAACGGCTTATGTCTGTGTCATTGTGTAACCAAGTTTGTTATGTCTGCACATTTAAATGCTCATGTGTGGCAATATGACTTTGCATTTAAATGTCTTTGTGCTCTGTACACACGTGTGTGTTCTTATTGTGTCTGCGCCGTGAGTGTGTGTGTGCCAAAAAGGAGCTAATACAGTCCCCGCTCTCAGCCAGGATTAGAAGCTTCCAGCAGGTTTCTGGAGGGTTTTATGTCTAAAACCCCAACTAGAGGGAATCCACAACAGCCAATTACACTGTCTCTAGGGCGAAAGTGGGTGTGTGTCTGTGTGTGTGTGTGTGTGTGTGTGTGTGTGTGTGTGTGTGTGTGTGTGTGTGTAGTTCAACAGAAAGGTAGTGCAGACACACACACATACAGACACATACAGAGAGAGTGTATGTTAAAGTGGAGCTGGCATCTGGTGCCACTCAATTAGTCGTGACCAGTCTGCCAATAGCCAGAATCCATTTAACTGCCAACACAGGGGCATGAGTAAGCATTCAAGCACGCACGCACGCACGCACGCACGCACGCACGCACGCACGCACGCACGCACGCACGCACGCACGCACGCACGCACGCACGCACGCACGCACGCACGCACGCACGCACGCACGCACGCACAACCTTTTGGACTAAATACTGAACCTTCCCTGCATTCTCAACAAAATAACTTATATCACGTGTTCCTGTGGCCACGTTAAAAAAAAAAAAAAAGATTTAATTTGGGTCATAACATTTTATATTAAAGAGTTGACACCATAAGCTATACTTTGATCTTTTATTTTTGACCAAGTCAACAGAAAAGCAGGAGCTCCACATAAATGCTGAAGAAGGCAAATATATGAACTTCAAACTGACTCATTTACTGCATTTTGACTCCTAAGTGTTTATATCGGAATTTTATTTGCTTGTATGTATGGAAGAGATGTGAAATGGGGTGTAAACTAATACAATGTCAATGCATGCTAAATTAGATGCAAACTCCCTACTGCTTTAGATGCATAAACATTTTTGGGAGGAAAAACTAAGTTTAAACATTTCAGTTCCCCACTTCATTCGAAAAAGAGAAACATTCATGCTAATAGAAACATTTATATTCGCTCTGATACCAAACAAGTTCTCACACCTTTTTTACATTTTTACTATCGCAGCCTGGTTAGTGGCTCCTTGTTCAGAATATAACATCTAGGTATAACTCAAGCGGCAACCTCTGTTGTTAAGCTAATGCAGAAGTACCAAATACTGTAGTTTCTCTAGTGTCCTATAGGCTGCCCTCAAAGCCAAGGAATCCCCATTAGGTCACAGATTAAAATGCACATTTCTATATTTGTAATAATTGTAAGAGGTGGTTTTGTATATATGTAAATATTGGTTTTGATTATATATAGGCTAAGAGTTATGCATAAGTAGGTATGAAAAGGGGTGTGGCTGAGTTGATTGACAGGTGTCGCGTTGTCTGTTTGCCAGGAGGCTTAAGCCCCGCCTCAACTCCACCTCCTAACCAGTGACTAGATTGATCACAAGTTAGGCTAAAATGGCATTTCCAATATTGCCACCACCACCAATGGGCTTCAAAAGTCTGCTTCTCAAACCAGTTAGTGATATCACCGAGACCTCGTCCATGTTTATATACAGTCTATACTATATACCACAGACACCTGCTGTGTTGCTTCAAGCCTCCATTACTCCATAAAGGAGTAATTATATTCAGACTCATCCACTGCCTGAAACCAAAGCCCCTTTTGTGCTCTCCATGCAACATCACCAGACTTCTACAGCAGTTCAAAGTAACAGGTCAGAGGTCACCAGAAAAGGTACTATGACTGTACTTAGATGGTTACATTTGATACATCTGGCAACCGATCGAGCGTCGAAGTGTGACGACTTGTGAGGTTTTCTGTGGTTTACACTCAGAGGTAGCTTTATGATGTATTTTGCTTAGCTAAGCATAAAGTCTGTAAACAGGAGATAATTAATAACCAATTTTGACAAATAAATATTATGACGGATTCTCTTAAACTTTCAATAATTCACTTTCTGTATCAGTATGTAACTTTTCATAGAAGAAGAAAACAAGTGTTACTTATCACATTACAAATGCACAATGATAACCATTAATTGTGCCTGAATATTGACATAAATGTGCTTCACTTTTTGACCTGACACCCTTTCTGTTGTTCTGTGTGACTCACATATTTTTGGAGTTCGATTGTTGACAAAGACGGGTTAAACACTCGCCCTTGAAAGCCGAAATGCATCAACATACTTAAAATGTAAACAGACTGATTGTTTGTCATTGTTTTTAGATACAGCCGGTGCCTGTGTGTGTGTGTGTGTGTGTGTGTGTGTGTGTGTGTGTGTGTTTGTGTGTTTACCTGTCGCAGTGGTTGCACTTGAATGGCTTCGCTCCGGTGTGTTTGCGGTAGTGTCGTGTCAACTCATCACTGCGGGCAAAACGCCATTCGCAGCCCTCCCATGAGCACTTATAGGGCTTCTCACCTGCCAGAGAGAGAGAGAGAGAGAGAGAGAGAGAGAGAGAGAGAGAGAGAGAGAGAGAGAGAGAGAGAGAGAGAGAGAGGGAAACAGGAGGAGATGTCACATTTTATTATAATTTCTACATCTAATTTCACACGTCTAAACTACAGCTGCTCGCTAATGTACAGGTTACCACCCCTGGCTTTCTCTAAACCCAAGCACACCAACACACACACACACACACGGTCACACACACACACATATAGCCCAGGGGCCCAGGCACGCAGACCAGTTTTAACACAACAGCCATTTCAATGAGCCAATACACTCAATTAGCTGTAAATGAAGTCTTTCAGCACTGCGGCGTGTTAATTCATAATCCCAAATTCACCCTGAAATGAATCTCGTTTTGTTCCCTCCATCACCAACCCACACACACACACACAAGCACGGACACACACACACGTGCACACACACGCGCACACACCCTGAGGTGGTGGGATCTGAAATGTAAATGAAGTTTCATCCCCCACTTCACCAGATGGGAGAAGAGATGCTCTATTGTTCTCAGCCTGTAGTTATCTCTCCATGATAGAAAGCCTTCCAGCTGTGTGTGTGTATTTGTGTGTATTTTGTCTTGGGGTGTGTGTGTGTGTGGGTAGTGTGTTGGAGCAGACTGTCTTCAAATGGGATTTGATGATGTCTGAAGCTACATCCACACTGATATGTTTCTCTTTTAACCGTAGAACTTATCCTACCTTTACAGCAAGCATTTTTCTGATACCCTAAAACAAAGGCCTCATTCTCTCATATTTCTTTCCTTAGCTGTTTTCACACATGTACTCCTGAAAATTAAAAAAAGAAAGAAAGCCCTGAAATCTTCCTGAGTTGCTTATTAACACAGGTCGCTCACAGTGTTAGGTTTCCAGGCGGACTGGAGTGGAAACGTGTGACGCAAAGAAGACGCTTGGAAAATCCAAGATGACAAACACAACAACAGAGTCCAGCACTATGATGACAGTTTTTGTCTTCATTTCAATACTACTTTTAACTTTACGAATTCACAGAGTGAACTAACAAAATGATCAGAACATACTGGTGAGCAGAGAGGATACCGAAGTAGCTTCTTTAGTTTGCGTACTGGTCTGTTATATATCATCACCTGCTCGCTCTCTGTGAATTGTCCTGAACATTTCCTTCTTCATTCTCACATCGATAACCCCAACTTCATGTGGCTTGAACAAAAAAGTAGGGCTAAAGTTGGGAGAAAAATGTCCATTTGCGTTCACACATCGAGCTCTTTCTTTGTTGCTGGTAATTTCTGGAATTTTTGAGGAGTTTTGTTCATGTGTGAAAACACTACTTGTTTCTGTCCTTTAAACCTGCGATGCAATCAGAAGATACAAGGAAGAGATACAAGAACAGAGGATCCAGGCAACAGGCATTTAACCCAGATTTGTTTTAAAGCACCTCTATATTTTACGATCTCTTTAAAAACCGCAGTATCATCAAAATGTAAAGTTTTGTATCAACTTACAGTACATCATGAATTCATTATGTAACCTCTAGTATACCCCAGGGGACAAAAAGACATCTACAACGGATATAACTGTGCATCCATGCTCGCTGCTCCTCTGGGGGGAGAAACCTCTCACCTTGTCCTCTTTACTCAAGACACATGTACATAGGACATCCTTCAAGATGACACACTGAGATTGATTTGTAGGTCACAGGCAGGAAGCCAGAGAGAGAAGACAGTGAGTATGGCTTTGAAAAACTGCAGAATCAGCTTTATTTAGAAAACTATTGGGTTCGCAATGTCTTCAGGTAGACTGGGAGATCAATTTGGCTTCTTAAAGAAGCAATAATGGTAACCAACGGATTAAGCTTTGAATGGTGATCAATAGATAATCAAAACATACGACCCCCAGTCCCCCAAAAGAAGGGATACAAATGACACTGCAGCTGTTTTCACACATGCACTCCTGAGAGTTTTTTTTAAATAAAATTTCAGCACAACCAGAAACTGACATTTTCCAGAGTTGTTGTTCACACATGTCCCTCACTGTGTGTAGTTTCCTGGACGGGAGCAAAGCGGTTGCAGTCTTAATGTTTACAAGATATCCCGAATGGCGAGCACAGAGAGATAATGCCATAATGACAGTTCTTGCCTTCATATCAATGCTAAGTGTTATCGAAATTATTTAAAGGATCGACAAAAGAGTGGAAAGTAAAGAGTATGAAGCTGCTTTATTACTTGCAGGATGGTCATCACTTAATATAAACATCACCTTCCCCCTTCTGCTGCCTTGCTCACACAGACTTTCTCTGAATATTTATTGGTGCGTTCAAACATTGACTCACCTAACTTAATACAGATTTAAAAAAGAAAAGAAAAATTCCAATGAAGTAAAAAAACCTTAATGAATAAAAAATGAAACGAAAAACATAAACAAGTTGTTCTTTTCTCTGAATACACATTGATCAAATATCTTCCTCTTGTAGTCATATTAATTCATCATTGGCCTGAGTCTGCTCAAGGCTATTTCAAATGTCATCATGGCACGACACCTACATTGGATCCTATTATGTTACCCCATCTTTAACACGGTCACAAAGCACTTACACCCATCTCTGAGTTATTTATCAAACTGAAAGACATTTTTTTTTTTTTGCTCATGCACAGCTGCAGTTCTGTGTCTCTGTTCTGTTTTATTTTTTTTCTCGACAGACTAAACTTGTCATTTTCCATTGAATTCCCTCCCTGCTGCTTCTGCACCGTCTTTTACAGGAAATCCAATTCCTTAACTATTATGAGCCTGTTTGAGCATAGTTTCTGCGGTTCATTTCATTTTCACTATAACTCACAGTCTGGGTTGGGAAGAGAGAAAATAAAACTCAGTCCGGGGGGTCCAGTTTGCTGAGTTTAGACACCAAAACAATGTATGGTTAGTTAAAATTTTACTACTACGATTTTTACAGCTGGAAGATTACTGTATCCTTTGTTTGACAGTTTAAGGGAATCTTTGTCAAGATTTAGGTGGTCTCCAATACGTATTGATAGTAAATAACGTTAATTAAAGCAATAAATTCCTCTTTGTGTGCTTTATCGACAGAACACTAAGTCCTCCTGCTACAAAGCTTTACCAGCACTGCCTACATGTACCAAGAAGCACTGGTGCAAGCATCAGCAGCCTCTGCCTCCAACTCTTTTGTATTTTATTCGGCTGTTTACTCAGACTCAGAAACACTCTAAAACAACTACAATCGAATCCCCGCAATACAAGATAGTAGATTTTTTTTTAAACTGATTGGGAATGCCAGTTCCCTTTGGCTTTCTGTACTGTACAGGTGTTCTGGTGCTTTCACCTACAGTACATTTCCACCGCTGGGTGTTAGAGACATGGGTGGTTAAAAATTCACACAAAGGTAATTTGTTCAAAAATAGTTGCTTAAGGAGCCTGCAGTAGCTACCAACTTTTCAATCAACAGAATAAATCTGAAAAATAAACCTGCTCTACAGACCTGACTCTGGTAGATGGAGTTCTACCAGTCCCGTTCTTAACAGTACAGAGTTATTTTGCAGATTTGTGCACATTTTCATTTGACTATAGGTGAGTCTTGATGGAAGCTGTTACTTTGCAGCAAGTTGACCCTTCATTGTTTCTGAGGATTCCCGCTGCTTCAATAAAGCAGCCTCGTCTAAGGCTCACTAATTAAGGGGGAGACATTCTCAGAGTCTGCTCAAACATGTACTGTTATTGAAATCAGATTTTCAAACATTTACAGTATTAATAAAGATAAGCACACAAGCCTTTCTGGACTGCGCTCACTGTTTATAAAAAGTGATGAACCAAACTGCGACCCCCTGGTGTGTGGGTAGTGTGTGTGAACCAGGGGGTGGTAACTATAATTGGGGTTTTAATGACTCCTAATGGGGAGTAATACAGCAGCTTACAGTCAGTTAGCCAGATGTCCCAGCAGCCCCTGCACTGCCATCACAGCACACACCGATCCTCTTAAGGAGACAAACACAAACACACACCAGTCCAAAACTAAATGGAAGGAATTTGATCTAAAGTGTTTTACATTGGGTGAAGAAGTTTCTTGCTGCAGCAGTAAAGGATGTGTTTACAAGAGCTTCAGTTTTCTTGGGATGTTGAATTTGCACATTCAACAAACACAATAGAACCAAAAAAAAAGTCCCTGACTGAGAGGTTCCAGACCTCCGCAGAGCTACCCACATCCTGCTCTTACAGTTTATCTTATAAGCGTGATTCTGCACAAGTTAAACCACCCACTGATTGAGAACTGTTGGCTAAACTAAAAAAGCTATCATCTGCTTTTACCAGAGCCAGGAGGGTTGGGAAAATCTTGGGTTTGATTGAGAGTAACACAAACCCAAAATAGAGGAAATTGAAAAGCAAAATCTGTTGCTGAAATCATTTGTTGTACAGAAGCATCACAGTTGCAATCATAGTACAATTAAAAACCTTTTATAAAAAAACAAAACATGCAGCCACCTCCAAAAAAAAGAGAGAGAACCAGAAAACTGAACAAACGGAAGTAAGATTTTCGATGGCGTAAAATGACAAACATATTACTACCAAATCAACTTTTAGACGCATATTGTCACTTTAAATTGATCACAGAGTCTTCACATCACACAGACACTAGCCTGTGAAACGAGACGGGAGGGACGGTGAGATGTGGACACAGGAGGGGAGGAGGGAGCTGAGGGATGAAGAAGGTGTGTCCAAAGACAGTATTTGTTTTGGTCTGAAAGTCTACTCTGAAAGTCACAAAGACAGAAGGCCTTGAGGGTTAAGAGTTATGCATACATTTGCATAATTAGGGGCGTTGCTGAGATTGACTGACAGGTGGGCACCATCTACCTGTTTGTCAAAAGGCTAAATAATCGCTTCAGATCCAGCAATTTGCCAGGTATTAGACTGGTTCAAAAGTTAGGTTTAGATAGCATTTCCAATATGGTTACCACCATCGTTGGGCTTCATAACGGCGCT